CTGTTACACCCCCCCCCCCCCCCCATCAGTGTTAAAGGGTTTGTCTCAACCCTCTATTTACCACTTTGTCTGGATAGCTTGGACTGTCCAAAAAGTTGAAAAATAACAAGACTTATTGGCAGGATCACCAGGTGAAAATAAAGGAAGAAAAGCGGGGAAAAAAAAGAAAACTAATGCAGCCACCATATCTAAGAATTGGTAAGCTGCAATATATTAAATTTTTGGTTTTGGATTTAGATATGCTTTAAAACTATGCCTTAGACACATAAATTTAGTTTAGTTCCGAATGAATATTTGTACGAATTGTGTTAAACTCGGACATTCGGATGTTTCAGAATTTCCGAGTCCGAATGCAAACGAATCCGTATGTTCCTTAAACGAAAATTTGGATCAGACATGTGACTGTTCTCTGGCCAATCAGATTAGTTTTTTTTGGCTGTTGGGGTGGTGGCAGTGCATGGCAATGCCACGGTGTAGTATGGCAACTTTGGCGCCCAGGACTCTCAGCCAGAGGGGCTGAGAGGTTCCACAATGTGAATACCTTTGGAGAGGAGGAACTGGCTGTTCAATTCCTTCTAGGTTTTCCAGACTATAGTGGGATGGGATCTCCAGTCCTGGAGATCCCATCCCACTAAAGCTGGAGAGGTCCAGAGGGTCGGTGACCCTGAGCTCCCTGTCGGGGAGACAGAGAGGGACAGTGACCCGCGAGGGTGAATACCAAAAGTATTGGAGCTGAGGGAAGCTGCTGAGGACGGTATATCCAGGGAAAGTCCTGGGACTATAACACTGGGAGTGTATGGGACAGCCAGATGTCGGTGAGGCCAAAACATGATGTGTTAATGAGAGTCCAATTAACTGTTATGCTTCGTTTATGCTGAAGAAAAGAGTTATTTTGTGATGTTCATGGACTGTTGACCTTTTGATGAACAAAGATTGTCCTTTTATGTTAAAGTCGGCTTCAGGAGTGGTCACTTAGCGCTTACCATTGTGCTATATTCCCCAAACTATCACAGGGGTTACAGTACAGGCACGGTCATGTGACTTAGTTCCGAAATGAAAATTCGGATGGATATATAGTGAACCAAATCAAATTTTGCATCCAAAATCCCAAAAACTAAAGAAATAAAAATCAGGGGTTAGATGTCTACTATGCCTCCTTTTGACCTTTAGCATTTAACTTACCCCCAATACTGATAACACTGTTTAGGGTTTTAACATAACAGAGACAGAGTTGTCAGCTCATACAGGAACTTAGGAGCCCATGGGATTTCTGGCAGGATCAACAGGTATTTTATGTTGTACTTGCAGTATTCTTAAATGACAAAGCATGGGGAAATGTGCATTTATTGTAGAGATGTACTTAATATGTCCTATTTCTATTATGCCCTGACATACACTTTGAGTATAATCCTTACCCCAAAACTAAAAATTAGGCCTTAAAACTAAATCTAACCATGACACCAAACTCTTAAACCAACCTTTAAATACCACTAACCTAACTCTTAAAATGAACCCTAGAAACTTAAACTAATCCAAATCCTTAAACCTATTTCTTCAGCAAATTGTAACTGGTAACCTAACCCCTGCCTATTCACATCTTAAACCCACCTCTGAAAATTATCCCTTAACACTTAATCTAATGCTTACAAATATCCCTTGACCTAACTTTTAAAGCTTAACCACCTCATCTAACAATTAATTAGCCTTAAACACTAATCCTAACATGTAAGCCTATCCCTTAAAGGGAACCTAGCCTGAAATATAGTTTTTTTGTGTAAAGTTTATGCATATGTAAGAAAGCCAACATCATCTTTGTTCAGGCATCATCCGGGTCAGCAATTCCTTTACACCGAGACGATGGCCGAGGAATGACACCGCTTGTAAACCCAATTGCCTGTCTAGTGGTCTTTAGGTCTCACACTGTTCAGTTCTCTCACCTTCTATAAAGTTATAATGTGACAACAGTCCCAGTGAATGATCACTTTTGGAAAGAGAATTTGAGATAATGTGATCCTCCTGTCTGCAGACCGATCCCTTAAAGGAGAACTATGGGGTCAGTGTTTTCCCCCATAGTTCTCCTAAGGGTAACGGGAAGATACAAACTAGCGTCCTCCTGTCACCCTAAGCTCAGTATACCGCGAGCTACAGCTCGCGGTATACTGAGACGCCGCAGCTGAAACGGAACCCGACAATTATGTCTGGATCCGCCCAGCTGCATGAGTGACAGCTGGCTCTGCCTATCTAGAGGCAGAGCCAGCTGTACCCGCCCCCTCCCCTGTCCGTTCCACCAGTCAGCGCTGGAGGATCGGGGAGGGGGGAATCCAGTCCCTCGCCTGTCACGGCTCTCTGCAGTGACGGGATCGAGAAGTGAGCAAACGCCGGTATGTGTTCGCTCACTTCCCGATCTACTGAGCCGACCTGTGACAGTTTAATTGTCACAGGTCGGCTAGAACTATGAGGATGAGTGAAAATCACTCGCCTCATAGTTCTCCTTTAATTTTCCCAAGATGCTGTCCTCCAACCTCGGAATGGTCCATTGAGTTGAGCTGCTTTATAGTGCTGCGGTAAATTGTGGCATTAGTAATTTATTAATGCAAATTTGCATCTTTACTGATATGTCTAATTAAAAGGAGACTGAGACCCACTATAGAAGTTTACCTCTCCCTCCTCCCTTAACTGCTGCCAGCTAAACTGCACTAAATCCCTCAAATACTTACCTGTTGAAACTTTGTCCTTGTACCAGCAGCACACACATACTTCATATACATCCTACCCCTGGGTGCAGCACAACCCTGGACGGTTCTTGTACCTAGAGTGAGCCCCATCCTGCCAACTGATAAGTATCTTAGAGGCAATTTTGGGTGTACAGCAGCAAGGGAAGTCAGGTGAGGGGTGCTTATTTGGTGAGTTTAGGTAAGCTTGCTTTACACAAACCCACTAACCCCAGTCTGCAAGTCTAATAACTTAACCAGTTCAGTCTAACCTCCTCCCTAACTCTAGACCAACTCCTAACTTAGCTTATTGGCTCACACCATCCTAAGAGTGCTGCGCCAAGATGTAGCTGAGCCATAGGTTCAATGATAAAATCTAATGATCTAAGCTATGATATGCAGCAGATTTCTCCTTCCCATTCCTTTATCCAAAAGTATAAGGGCCTGTGTTGACGGGCTTTGGGCTTGTGTCGATGGCATCAGTTTGAGGTCCGTCTGAGATAATTAATTGATAGGTGCATCTGACCTGCAATTGACCTCCTTCTGATCTGCAGTTAACCTCCTTCTGATCTGCATTTAATCTCCTTCTGACCTGCACTTGACTTGCCTCAAGCAGGTTTTGCATTCCCATAGACTTGTATGGACATTAAGGCTCTAAAAATGTATGTTTAGTGGAGCTGAAAGTACATAATGAGGCATTGTAGACTTTAGCACTGTACTATTAGGGATAAGCAGCCAAAATGTAAGGGCCAGGAGCTTCAAAGCAACGCCATTCTTAGATGTCACTCCCCAGTACTATACTGGATCTACACTGAAAAGAGCCATTTTAAAATTCTTATGAATAATGGTTCCTATCAGAAAACAGCTTTCTCCACTGACAGCTAATATAACAACTAGGGCATTTCCCTTATGATCTACACTATGTAGGCATGAAATCCATAATTAATAGGTAATGAACAGCCACATAGTGAAAAGGATGAAAGTGCAAACAGCGTAATGAGGATATAGGTGATCATTATGGCTCAGGAGATGGCTTTTACAGTGAATTCATAGGGCATCTACAATATTTTTTAACTGTTTTTCCACAGGTATCACTTTAAATACCATTGCCACCACCAATATCCCTAAGCCGATGGTACAGCCTTTAAAGTAAACCCGTGCTGTGTCCACACATATCCAAATAACATTCATTTGCTTGACCCAACTATTTATGATCACCTTCTTTTTGCTACCCCACCACTCCATTAGACCCACAGGGAGATGTGGACCAGCCAGTGTTTCCAGATATGGAAAACACGTTTATGCTGGCCATATGTTATTCAGCTTTATAGTAATTTGGTGGTTCTTGGGATAGCATTTAAACACCTAGTTTCCATCAACCATATAATAGAAAATAAGTTGAAAGATCATAAAACCACCACCATCTTAATGATACTCAGAATGGCCTTTATGATCCCCAACCTACTTATTACCATTGCTTGAGACTAGAAATCATTTGTGATTTGAGGATGATTGAAGGCAATAGAAGTACCATGTACATGGTCAGCATTATAAACACGATGAGTGAGATGGATTCAGCGATGGAGACGCATGACGGGAACTGGGTTCCCATGACTGTCTGAGCCAACCTTGTAGCTGAAGCTGGACTTTAGCTGGCTGAGGTCACTCAGGTGCCAGTGGTCCGAGCTTGGGGTGATCTTGCCCCCCATGTGCCCACGTACCATTCCATCCGCCAGTGGAAAGACATTTAGTGAAGTTGGGCGCTCCTTTCGGCTGGGAAATGAGAAAACAAAATAGTATTTCAGTCAGTGACATAACAAGAAAGGGAGCATCAACAAACGGCCTATAAAAGTGTTTAATGAAAACCTAAGCAATGAAATAATAGAACTGTCTACCTCTGTCTCTTATATTTTACTTTTCCTATTTTAATCACATCAATTTTTTAGTACAAGAATAGTAAACACAAAAACCAAGTCTTTTCTGTCTTACATAAGAAACACAAAAAGACATTGCAAGAAACATACATCTAGAGTGACATAGACATATGATGAGTGCAAGACTTATTGAATATAGAGGTACAGAATACAAAGTACCCAGAAACAAAAGGAGAAATTACTCCCCCATAACTTAAACAAAACCAATGCTAACACCAAAAATCCCATATCTTAAAAATGAATTATATAAATAGACCATGAAACCATACCACAACACCATCCAGTGAAACTCAAAATGGGACTAATCAAGGAAATAAATAATCAGGATAGGATATAAACATGATATACGCGTAGGTGCGTATACTTTCCTTATTTACTAGTAAATCAATTCCAGCATTGTCCTTGCTTTTCGGTGTATCAGTCTACACTTAGAGGCAAGTTAGTTTGTTGTCTGGACTTTTAATCATGAAAATATAGCTTGTCAATAATACCAACGTTCAACAATGCCCTACATAGTGCAGTAACACCTAGAAATAGAGTAGATACTTTCATCTGAATGTTAAATTCAGGCCAACTTTCATAAATTTGGATATCTCAAAGTGAATCTCAATTTCAGTGTTATTTTTGGCAGTTCAGATTCCCGAAAATATTTGGGAAGAGAAAGTGACCAAAGGCTGCTCCAAAGGCTGTTTATGCCTTATACCTGCTTCTTTTGTTGCCTGGGTATCCTTACCTTGACTGCCAGTGGCACCAAGTCCTACTCTTCTATCTTAATATCCCTATTTTTAATTGAAATGACTCAGGCTGTTTTTGGCTCCATCATTAGGCAGAGCTGCCGGTTGCTTCCCAAACCATTTAAAAATGTGCTGGTTTGTAACACTTTTTTTGGAGCCTTGTACGGATTTCTATTGACTTTAATGGGACTTCCAGTTCGGAAATTCCACTTTTCAGAGGAACTCAAATAAAAAAATAAAATAAATTCAAACCACAACTAATCAAACTTTTCAAAAGTACACTCAGCTCTACCTAGAAACCAACTAGATATCTTTTAACTGATCTGACATTCAAACTAAAATTTGAATGGGTATCTGGACTTTACACATCATCGCCACTCTTGTGTGGTTTTCTGAATTAGACCAAACTTTGGTTCTTTCTCTAGCTCCCCCCTGTTCCTTTTCAGCCTTATTTTAGATAATCAGTGGGTAGATGGAGGGAGTACTGGGCCAATTCCCAAGGTAATAAAAAAAAATACAAAATCTCCAATTGTTTTAAAATAAATAGAAAGAAAAATAAAAACATTTTGGCTAAAATTTAAGGAAAGCATACAAGGGCCAATAAATCAATGTGGTAGTGAAATCCTACTGAAATTTAAGTATGCAACCATACTGATCCTTCATCAGACAAACAACACAACTGGGAAAACAACTGATGTGAACACAAGAGACAACAGGGGGAGCGCCATTCAACAGCAAGCACAAGCTAAACACACAACATTCTTATTGGACAGTTAGAAGGCTCTGGCACTATCCCGGCTGTAAATAAAATGTATGTCAAGGCAAAAAACATATTTTAGTTTTAAATAGAGTGCTTAAGAATTAGAGCCCTTGTCGTTTACTGATATCCAGGGGCTCTAGATACGACAGGGGTTCTAGCCTTTCCATACTCTACTCATAAAAGCATTTTTATTTCTGTCTGTGTTACTGTTGGAGCGTTCCTCTCACTTCCCACCTGGTAAAATGTTGTTGGCAAAATAAGAAGTGAGGGGAAACCTCTCTAACAGACCTCCATAGAGCAGTAAAACCTGAGAGGGGTTTAATCCCTCCCCCATTCTATCCGTCATAAACTTTAAGTGAACCAAGATTACAATACTAACAGTACTTAAAAAACATTTATTTATTTCTGAATGAATTCACAACTGCACCACAGGATGGGTTTTTATTTATGTCTGGTTGGAGTTTGCTCTCTAAAGCAGAATTTACAGTTACAATTAAATACTTACTATGGGTTGGCATTAAAAGGGTACACTAAAAGAAAAGTTATCCACACACCAATCTGCTTCAGAATGTCGTCTTTATTAATGTTCTTGCAGCATAATATAAATCAATGAAATGTTTCGGGAAGACGCAGCATCCCTTTGTCAGGTAAACAGTGAATATTTGCCTGACCAAAGGGCCCTGCTTAGTCCAGAAACATTGCATTGAATTCTGCTTTAGAGAGGAACCATTCTGAAGCAGATTGGTGTGTGGACAACAAATCTTTCAGTGTATGTTGTGGGGATATCCACCAGTTGTTCCAGCACCCAAGGAACTGATCAAAAGGGATTTGTCAGTATGGAGTGCCGTAGGAAAATTTCTATTATTAAGAGGCTTAAAGCACATAGTATGGCTTTACTTTGTTAATTACTAAAAAGTACTGACCCACCAATGTTGGCTATACAGTTGCCAGTCCCAAGCAGCCGGTCAACCTGGGCCTGATTCTACAGAACAAGTTTTGGTTTAAATTAATGGTTTGGCGACAGGGTCACTTTAAAGAAAGACAATTTTGGTTTAAATTAATGGTTTGGCGACAGGGTCACTTTAAAGAAAGACTAAGTAGAGATCAGGCCTTCATAAATTAACTTTTATTTACATTCATACAGTGGCAGTGACAATTACCTCTTCCTCCATGTCTGGCGGTGACTGTATTACAATTCACAGACAAGACACCCAAAACACAGCGGCCACAGCACGAAAAGCAAGACAAGAAAACAGCAGTTAGATGCTCGTTCATGCATATACGTGTGCCAAAAATGGAATACAACAAGCACTCACAACAACAATTTGAGCCACAGTCATGGCTGTTTCATGTGCTAGCTAGTAGGGGAGTTTAACCTTTGTCAAGATGGTTTCCAGCAGTTACTGTAACATGGTCCTGGAACACCAAATGTGCCAATTCTAGGATCCCTGACATAGATTGGGGGCCTATATCAAAGGTTGTGCCCCTCTGCCCTACCTCCCCACTGTCCACATTTTGGTGGGACAGTCCTGATTTTATCTACTCAACAAGGTGGCCCAGCTCTGGCCAAAACATATGTTTTAGCTTTGAGTAGAGTGGAAAAGGATTAGAAACTATGGCAGGTTGTTACTGCTTTCTGTGACTCCACTGGGGAGATTCTTCAACACTCTTATCCCTGTGACATGAGGATAAAAAACAAGTTATGGAGGAGTCACTGGAACAGGAAGACACTGATAGCTGTAAAAAATGGCAATGGTTTCAAACTACTCATCTAAAAATAATGTATTTGTTGTTGTCTCTGTCCCCAATTAAGTTATTTTTCATCACTTCCTGTCCTTTTGAACCTTCTGTCATCAAGACAGGAAGTAAGGGTAAATATTCCCATTGAGAACTAAGCAGTAGGAATATGACAAGTTCTAACCCTTCCCCACTCCTTCTAAAGAAAATCCCCAAATGTACTTTCTATATCTTTTTCTTGTCTACAAATTGGACATATTGTATATTTAAAAACAGGTAGTATAATGTTATGTAATGTTACGGTATGCCATGCTACGGAAACTGGTGCCAGCAACATGCTTGTGTATAAGTGAAGACATTATGACAGTGCCAATCACAGCCGTTAGTGCATACAGACAACAACAATGTATACATACATTGATACACATATGCAGTTCGTCTTATAGAATAACTATAGTGTGGTTTTTTTAAAATAAGTAATTAAAGGGATTCATTACTGCAGTGTTTCCAAAGGCTGTGGAATGCAAACTTTGAATTTTGAACTGGATGTTATGGAGCATTGTCCTTTTCTATTTATGGTTGCTTTTGTGCCTTGCGTTACTGCTGGTCAGAGGAAATCTCCCTCTCACCGGAAGTTCCAGTATCAGGGGTAAGTATCAGAGCAAATACTCGGTATCGTCACTGATACCGATACCAGTATCGGTGCATCCCTAAATGCCATACAAGTAAAGCTCACAATACTCTTCTCATGACAGAGTTACTTTAAAAAGAGCAACTGCTCCTACTATATGCAAAACATACATTTTTGAACAACCCATGTCAATTGATATCAAAGAAAACAAAGTGTTTCTTCCCTGAACTACGTCACTGAGGTCTGACTATGACCATCGTCTCCCCTTGGCAAAGTGCTCGGAAATCCCTGTACAAGTTTCAACTTTTTGAAAAGCAAAACCTGCACAAGTCTCAAGAAGTACATCCACATCTCCATGCGATAGCACTTGGGCATGGCCTCTGGCCGCTCAGGAACCCATCGTTGAACACTGGGAGGCAGAAGGAATGTAGAGTGCACAGAAAGCATGAAAAAGGCCTGTGCTATTATAAGAGGAGTCAGAGCTGGGAACTCTAGCATGAAGACCTCACTGAAGAGCAATAGCTGAACAACCCTTACCTTCGGCCTGTGCCGCCCTCTGACTGACTGTTTCCAGCTACCTGCTGCAGCTTTGATCGTTCGATGTGTTCCATATATGTCTGGATCATCTGTGAAGGGAAAAACAAAATGGCTGATAAAGTTGGACACAAAATATGACTCAGCCTAATTTTAAGGGAACAAAAGACTAAAGAACCCAAAACTAGTTCTGCTTAAAATAAATTATATCAAAAGTTATCTTAGAATGAAAGGTAGTGATATACTTTGTTAACATGTTTGTGTTTAATACCCCTACTCCAACAAAATTGGGAATCTTCTGCTCATTTATGTATGGATGGAGGTATGCACAATGCATATGACCCTATATGACATATACAAATCCAAAGCTGCAGGTTTATAGCAGAGTTTTATGGCATGAGTACCCCAGGATGTAATTATGAAAGGTCTAGGCAGGGCTGTACCAACAGTACCATAGGTGATTTCCCAGGTCAGCTAGAACAGGGAGGCAGAACTAGGCTTCTATCCACCACTGGACATTTGTGGGTAAATCCAGCAAGGCAACTGTAGAGGGGAAGAGGGTATAGGGGATGTTTAGAGGAGTCAGAAGACTCACAATATTTAAGAAATAGGAAGCCATCTCTCGTTCTCATGTTTGTATGAGAAACATTATATAATGTGCTGTATGTTACATAATCCTGACTGTACCACTCTGGGCGCTGTACTGTATGTTACATAGTATGTATCACTCCAATGTGTACACTATGCTGTATGTTGCATATTCCTTGCTGCTTCCCTTTCTATACTGAACTGTATGGTATATAATTCTGACCACTCAACCTCCTACATTGTACTGTAAATCACATACTTCTGACTACTCCATTCTATACACTGTACTGTACCCTACACACTCCTGGCTGCACCATTCTGTATACTGTACTATATGTTACATACATCTGACTGTTGTGCTGATATGCTCTACATTGTGCAGTACATACTCACTGCTTTACTTTGTACATTGTACTGTAGATTACATAATTATCCACATTGTACACAGTGCGCTACATTACACACCCCTGACCACCCCAGAATGCACGTTGTGGTACATACTCTCCACTTCCCCACTCTGTATGCTGTGCTGTTCTTTACATACTCCAAACTTCTCTATTTTGTACACTGTACTGTATGTAACATACTCCTGACCACCCAACCACCCAAAATGTACACTGTGCATACTCAAATTATTAAGGATTCTGCTTTGTATTTTTTAGGTAGGAAAATGTTGTGGGGGGTAAGGGGACCCACCCATAAATATTTTGCCCTAGGCCTATCTGTGTCTGAAATGGCCTTGCATTAACCCTCTCTGTCTTGAATTACAATATTTTGACTTTTCATACCTCGGTGTGCCGTTGGTGTAAGGCATTGTATTCCTTTTTCATCTCTGACTCCCTTTCTTCTAATCTGGAAACTGAGAGAAAGCAAAATTTCTCATGAATACCAATATACAGTATTATGATTTAGAACCCATTCCATATTAGCACAAATGGAATAACTAAAGTATAATATAAATATACAGTATAATACAGTTGTTATCAACATTATTTAGCTTTTTAAATTTGCAGTCATTCTTATAATATGAACAAAATATGTATTTTACATAAAAAATTTAGTACAAGTAGTATGTACCGTATGATGCTTAAAGGAGAACTATGGGGTTCGGGCTTTTCCCCATAGTTCTCCTTGGGGTAACGGGAGGACACAAACTAACCATGACGGGCTTTATAAATGCAAAAGGCACTAATCCAGATGGTATCTGCAAGCAGAGAGGAGGCAAATCCCTCATCTGAGTCATTCAGCGGTGTGTAATCTGACCTCCCCTGCTCTTTTCCAGCACAGCATTTCTGAGGGCTAGAAAGCTCATGCTCTTGCTTGGAGCATGCCATCTTCTAGAAGAAATTGGCAAAATATAAACCTGACAGAAATTTAACACTTCTACACTCACGTGACTATTTTACTTAAAAAAAAGGTATATGTACAAAGCTCAGTAGCTCAAGCTTTGATTACACCCACAGCTGAATGAGCCAGAGACGTGACTTCCCAATCTCTCCCTTCTTCCGTATTTCCGTAACTTTCAATAAAAGAGAGACAGTCTGCAAGCAAGTAGTTCTCTCTCTTCTAATGCTCTGTGACATCCGTGTTGTGGGTGTACCCTGTAATATATACTTCTTTAAAACAATTCAAATAAAATGGATTACAAACCATTAAAATGTGTTTAAAAAAAATAAGTTGTTGTAAGCAAACACTGGGTACATTATAGCCCAAGTAATGATAGAGATGTTCATAGTGTGTTTATAAGACATGTTTGTACATTTGACTTACATAAAGTTTTTCAGTTTTAACCAATGCCAGGTAAACTTTATGAAAGAGTGGTTAGGCTGTTCAGTGAAAGGAATCTCCCAGAAATTCTTAGTGGCACCTACTTTGGTCAGCATAGTTTTTGGTCTTTAGCTCCTGCTGCCGGGACTGAAATTCCAAGCTTTCCACCTGATACTGGAGGTCCTTCTTCTCTTGTTCAAGAGCATCTTCAAATTCGATAAATTTCTGTAACATTAAGTAAAAATATTTTATAGTTGTATATAGAATCATCTCAAATGACAAGTTCAACCAGAAGTAATGCAATAATGAAGTAAAAATACTTATCTGGTCCACCTTTGGCACCACATAGCATAGACCTCAGGTTTGTAGGCCTATTCAGGCCTTTGGGTTATGCACCCTAGTGATCCTACCACTGGCAGCAGCTCACCAGTCACAGGACCCCTAACATTGCAAAGAGGACCTTTATCTTCCACCTGGTCTGAACCAATGAGATGCCACAATGCCACTTCTTCCATGTGTTTCCTCACTGGCAAGCAAGATTTTTGACCAGCCTGGGAATGGCAACACAAGAGCAGTTCAACAGCGATCCTATTGCTTCTGAATATCCTGCCAGCAACATTATTGATATCATGACCTGGCCATCCTGGTTAATGGGTGGCAGTCCAGCTCTTGACTTGTTAGAAAGTGTCAAACTATACAGAAGATATTAGGTAGGTTCCTCCCATTTTGGACTTGGGGCCATCTTAGTACCATTATCATACTAATAGGTTTACTTTAGAGAAGAACTTAAGTCTACTGGAAAATGATGTAATGTTTTCAAAATAAGTGTTGGTAAAAGAAGTGTTGATTACAACCAATTAGAACTTAATTCTCCAATAGTCAGCTAATTTTAAGCCTGCTGCCTAACACACCACAAACTATATATCTTTGATTAATGTCATCTGCATGCTGGGAGGCTGTGCTTTTAATATGGTTCACATCTGTTCAGCTTTGACATGGCTCACATACTTTCACCCCAAACTAGGGGTATGCGCTACTTATGGATCACCTCTCTTCCAGGCTTTTGTCATTCCTCTATCCCTGTCAATGAAAATGTTATTAAAAGGTCTGTTAAACAAACCAATGTATAAGTTATATGTATTGCCCCAATATATGTATGTGTTAAATTTCAAATTCTACCCTCAGCTTTGACTTGTTCAAAAAACACCCTAGACTTCTTTCACTGAAGAAGCTGCCTTCTTGCAGAATAGCCAGGAAAAGGACAAACAGTGACTTCAATAACAGAGTGACTCCATTAGCAGGTCAACCAAACAAAGCATAAGCCATAAACCTAAAACAGATTGGATCCTTGAGCTGGAGCATATCAAAGAAAACAAAATGGACATGAAAGCAGTCACTTTCTTACAAAAGTTAGCACGTGCTTCACTGTCACTCTAGTGACAGTGTAAATGTAGTTGTTGTTTAAAAGAAGTCTACCTTTCATAACATTTGTGTTCTCTGGCTATCTCTCTTTATCAGAGCCAGCTATACAAATACACAATGGCTGAAAAGGTAAACATTTGTGTCGACACGCATCGAGAAAAAGGTAGTAGTGGCAGACAATGACTGTAATGTCAATATGAATTTAGCCGGTTGTAAAATAAAGGAAGGGTGTTATGCCGAGATTCTTAAGAATCAATTAAATAGTGCAGAATATCTTCAGCTTTATTAGCACATAAGTGATGAAAAAGACTGCATGCAATTGCCAAATGTATTAGATGTTGGCCTCTGTGGGAAACCAGAGACTGTATACAGAAAACCCCTAATGAAAAAACCTCTCATCTGGTCCCCCCTCTTTGGATCTACAAATAAACCATTTGACTGGTAGAGTTAGAAGTGTGAAGAATTTGAAGGAGGTAACACATTCATTCCACATACAAAATAGCCCAATTTTAAAGAAAATACCTATGAGAATAACTTTCCTAAAATCATAAAGTCCAACTTGCCTGACCAATGGAGCCATTGGTAAAGTCCATTAGTGCATTGGGTGCCATTGGGTCAGGTCAATAGGACTCATTGAGTCAGGTCAATAGGACACTGCTGGACACAAGGCTGCAGTCCTGAGGCATGGCAGGTCCTTAAAACGGCAATCTGGGTGTTGCAGTGGCTTTGGGGCCAAAACCCAAAGCAATGCCAATACCAGTGAAGGAGGCAGGTAGATAGCATGAGGCTATGCAGACTTATGCAAAGCTGGATACAGAGGAACTAAACCTCTGTACTCAAAAATTCACGTTTCATAGCCTTATTTTTTCACTTTAACAATGCCGCACAGCTCCACACTCAAATACCATATGCCATGTTTGCAAAGCCAAATGTCTCTATTGTGGCTGGACAGTCAGGGACCTAAACACTCCATTATTTTATGGTCAGAACTGGGCTAGTCCTGCTAAGTGATCATATATCTCCCTTTTGTCTTTTTTAATAAAAAGTCTTGGTACCCAGCAAAATCGATGGAACTGTATGGTCAAATAGATCAAGGGTATGGCTTAAATGTCCCCAGATTAGGCAGATTTAATTATTATTAATTATTGGAAGGAAGGTATGGGAGATGTTCCACCTTACCCACCTAAAGAAAATAATTTCTTAGCTTTGGCAGAGTCTGAAAAGGTTTTCCTTTACCTCCTGAATCTCAGTAGACTCTCATTCCCCCCAATAAAGACCAGCTAGAGTCATTTACCCAATTATTGTAACTGAAGAAAAAGCCGCCTGCACCTCTTCGGAGACAAACCACTCGTGAGCGCAAGAGAAGCTGCCTGAAATGTACACACAGCAACACAATAAAATATATCAAAGACATAAAACCTTCCACAGCACTTTCATTGCCAGGACCAGAATTATTTACCACTCTCAGAGACAGACTCTGTAGAGTCTCAAAACCACAGAGTTCCTCTTCAAATAATCAGGCAATAAAAAATATATGTGAGACTCTATAAAACGTTCATGAATACAATACAATGTTAATAATAAAAACTAACAGCACAAATACTTTTTAGTGAAGGGGTTGTCAGTGAAATAGATTGTTTTTTTAATAATACGGTTAGTCCTGACCCTCATAATGCAGGATAATGTTCCTCGCATTTGCAGATACCTATCAGCTAGTACAGATCAGTGCTGGGGCAGCCGCAAAGGATAATGTGCATTTTTAATCAAACAAAAACAGAGAGAAAAAATATTACTATATATAAAGTATGTGTTTTAGGACCAACTAATACTTCAGCAATTCCCTAAGGGTATTTGGGAATAGGAAACTATGTAGAAGATAAAATACATTTGTGCCAGCTGGACTGGATTCACCTCAGTATTGCACTGACCATGTCCCCAAACCAATATTTTCAACAAAAATCTTCCTATTACAATATACACTGATTAGCCATAACATTATGACCACCCGCCTAATATTGAGTAGGTCCCCCTTTTGCTGTGAAAACAGCCCTGACCCAAGGAGGCATGGACTCCAGTAAACCTCTCAAGGTACACTGTGGTATCTGGCACCAAGCTGTCAGGAGAAGATCCTGTAAGTTTTGAGGTGAGGCCTCCATGGATTGGACTTGTTTTTCAAGTACATCCCACAGATGCTTGATTGGATTAAGATCTGGGGAAAGTCAACACCTCAAACTTGTTGTGTTCCTTAAACCATTCTTGAACCATTTGTGCAGTGTGGTAGGGAGTAGTATCCTGCTGAAAGGGGCCACTGCCATCAGGGAATACCATTTCCATGAAGGGGTGTACTTGGTCAGCAGCAATGTTTAGGTAGGTGGTACGTGTCAAAGTAACATCCACATGAATGGCAGGACCCAAGGTTTGCCAGCAGAACATTGCCCCAAAGCATCACACTGCCTCTGCTGGCTTGCCTTCTTCCCATAGTGCATCCTGGTGCCATCTCTTCCCCAGGTAAGCAACACACACGAACCCAGCCATCCACATTATGTAAAAGAAAACATAATTTATTAGGCCAGGCCACCTTCATCCATTGCCCCGTGGTCCAGTTCTGATGCTCATGTGCCCATTGTAGGTGCTTTTGGCAGTTGACACAGGTCAGCAAGGGCACCATGACTGGTCTGCAGCTACGCAGCCCCATACACATACGTGTGTTAAGACCCTTTTTTTGGTACTATTGTAACAAGATGATCAATGTTATTCACTTCACCTCTCAGTGGTCATAATGATATGGCTGATGGGTGTGTGTATTTAACAAAATGTATATATGTTACTTACCTGTAAAGGCTTCTCTTGTGCAGACATGCAAAAGCCCCATGACTGCTACAGGGCATTGCTATATTGGATGTGATGTCAGCAGCCACAGGAGACTCAAGAGACACTCTGTAGTATTCTCCTTCAATCCTCCCCAGTTGATACATTAAAGGTTATGTTGGGAAGTGAGGGGAGGGGCAGAGGACCTGGGTCAGCACAGACAGTAATCAGACACTCTCAGTAGAGGAGAGGGCGATGACATGCAAGGAGGGAGGAGGCTGTGCTAGGGAAAGTTGCAGTAGTCAAAGTAGCTAGCAAGTTCAGAGGCACATTGCAAGTCAATAAAACATGTTTATAGAAAGTACAAACACTGCAATTATGCATTTAAAATACTTGATATTTGTTCTTTTTCCTGCAATATGTTGCAATTTGGTGACAGCGTCTCTTTAATTACATGTTAGTGCTTCTGTTAAAATTATTGCTAAGGTTCAGGCATCTTGTAGTGCCTGCCAATACCTGTGTTATTCTTTAAATCATGTTTTTTGTCCTGGTGAAGAGCCAGGACCCTAGGCCTAGGTAATACACAGGACCTCAACTTCTGTCCAAATCCGAACTAACCTTCTTCTTCTGCTGAAACCTGCTCCCTGTCATTTATCAGTCCAATTCCAGAACCTGAGTGTCTACTAGAAACCATGGCCTTGGACTCTTCAATGGCAGAGAAGAGCCTTAGCCTGAAACTGGGGAAAACTGCACACCCTTTGTACAGCTTGAGGCAAGCAAGGAGTGGGAAAGTGGTCTGCAGTTCATAGTGGATCTTGCTGGCACAAGTTCCTGGAACTTCAACAATTTTCTTACCTGAGACACTTTTAAGACACTGACAAGTTCATTTTAAAGCAGACCTATACTCACATACGTAGTGCCGGGGTGCATTCTCATGAGATTTGAGATCCTTGCTTTCCCAGGATCTCACCGGAAGTATTGTGACATCACTTTGC